GATCAGTGGGGGCAGGGCAGGGGCTGGGTGGGCAGCACTTGTCAGTGCCTATCCCATCGTGGCTTTCCACTCCAGCCCTGCAGAATATCTGTCTAGCTAAATGCCTGAGACCAGGAGGAGAGGTCTGGGCAGCAGAGGCCAGAGCCCATCTGGTCAAGGAGGCCCTACTGCTGCCTGGCTTTGTGGTGAGCAGCTGTAGCACCACCTGCCCAGGCTGCCAGGACTAAGGGGAAGGGCTGGGGGACACATGTGCCCAGGAGGGACCTTGGGGACCAATGTGGTGGGAGGATGCATGTCCCAGCAGCCTCCCTAGAGGCCCCCTTCTAGTCTGGCACACCCCAAGGAGTGGGGCCTTTTCCAGCAGCAGTGGCAGTACTAGCTCCTTTTTGCTGCTGCAGTGTTGCTGCCACTGTGGCAGAGGAAAAACGGGTCTGTGGCTGCCTCAGTCCTATTGTATGCCCAGGGGTGGTAGAATGGTTGCGTGTGCCATAGCTTGGACTACCCCCAGTCTGTGGGCCAGGAGGGGCCATGGGACCCATCATGGGCTAGAAAGGATCATGCTGTGGGCCAGATCCAGCCTATCAGCTATATTTTGCCCACCCGTGCTCTAGATCTCATGCTAAGGAAGATTCTTTATTTCTTTTCTGTGAAGCCTGTGCAAACCATTCACACCTTGAACAAGAACTAAAGAGTGAAGCTGAATGTGATCCTTTTATGTACAGCATGAAATAACCTTGCGCTGTGCATTTGTTCTGGTAGTTGTGGTTGGTGGGGATGGATGAGAAATCCATTGGGGTTTCCTTCCACAGGTCTTAATTTTGCCATCTATGAAGCTGCTACTTTTTGTTTGGATGACACACTGAGTGTCACTGCTTCCCCTCCATCACGCTGAGTCCTCCTTCTTGTATCCCTGCAGTATTTCTGGCTGAGCTAGGGGGAGCTCGTGGCATGCAGAACAATAACTTTCCATAGGCTACAATTCCCAAACTGCATGTACAGTACAATGGATTAGCAGCCCATCGCTTCACCACTCAGCCACCTTGTCCAGACCTAGCTAAGCCCTTTAATTCTTTCTAAGGGTTATTGCACTTAGGATATTTCCCACCCACGACACCTCCCCTTGCTGAAGAAGTGTGATGCGTTCTTGGGCATTTCCTGTGCAGTTCAGCACAGCTACCTACTAGGGGAACATTGGTACCCCACTCTGACCAGACCTTCCCCTTGATCCACACCCTGGAAGAAGGGGAAAAAAGCCTGCTCAGCCCTCCCTCACTCTGCAACATCTAGTGCAGCACCAGGGAGAAGCCTCCCCCATTCAGCTTCAGGCACTTTGAGGTGCTGAGATGCTTCTGTGTTTAGCATGAGGCCAGTGGCACTTGCTCCCTGTGTGTTTGGGGACAGTTTGTTCAGGTCCTGCAGGCAGGAGACAAATGCTGCTTTCTTTGTTGCAGCGCAGCTTAGGCCAGAGCAGTAAGCCAGGACCAAAGGGCTCCTTTTTTTCAGAGCAATGCGTAAACCAAATGCAGCTGCAAACATCTAACCCACAATATGTGTTACCCCCCCTCCAGCCTTTCCAAAAACACCTGGGCTGCAGGTGCACTATCTGTCCGTACCACATATTGACCTATTGCACCCCTGAAGAGGACACTAGCCTCGCTCTTGTGAGGAGAGGTGGCATCATATTCTTCCACAGCTCCCAGCACGGCCCTTGCAAGTAACCATCAAACTTGCTTTGCCTCCCCCAGTCACTCACGTCCTTTGACAGGGATTTTGGGGAGATGGAAGGGTTTAGACACTGGCTTATATGGCAATAAATTTCTGTGTCCCCTGAATTGGTTTGAATAGTTCCAGTGGACAAGACACTCATTTTTGTGCTAGGGGTTTTTGGGTTTGAGTCCTAGCTAGGGTATAATTTGTTTAAGAGCGTAAAAAGGAAAAAAAAAATAGCCACCCTTTGTTGATTAAAATCTGAGCATAGACTTGAAGCAAAAAAGTACTGACACCTCTAACTGCATCCAAGGTCCCGGCAAGGAAGGAGGTAATTGTAAGCCTCTGAGTGCAAGGATTTCCCTTCCCAAGAGGGGAGAAGAGAGTTTGCTCACAAGTGACCAAGAATCAATGAGGGGAGGGGAGGGGAGGGGAGGGGAGGGCCATTTTGAAAGTGGGTGTATTTTTCCTGGAATCCAAACACATGCAGGAGCTGGTTGTGGGGAAAGAAGAGGATCCAATCATGAAACTGCTGGGGGCCATGTCCTAGAATGAGAGACAATAGACTTGAAGTGATCTCTGGATGTCACACCTAGTCCAAACCCCCTACTCCAGACAGGACCTGTTCCTCCTATGCATGTTCCTGTCTCGCCTGTTCTTAAAACTACACAATCCACCCTGGAGTACAGCTACCAGGCACATTACCCACAGACACCAATAGTACCCTACCCTGGCACCTGTAAAGCAGGGGAAGAAAGAGGGCTGCAAGGGTTGTTAAAAGACACTTGGGAGATCAAAGGAAGACTGTCAGCCATGCCTCCCACTGCTGAGAAAGGCAACTGCTAATGCTTCCTACCAATCTGGCAAACCCCCCAAAACATGAACCTTCAGATTTTATTGCCTACAAGGGCATTGGCGTAAGTGAGGGGGGCTCCTGGCAGGCACTTTACAGTGCACTCCAGTCACAGGGACTCGGATCCTCCCTGAGCAATGCCTGCTCAAAGTCTTCTGAAAACCTCCGAAGATGGCGATCTCCTTTCCTAGGCATCTATTCCGCTGGCTCACTGCTCTAACAATGACAATGTTTTTCTATATATCCAATCTAAATTACTTGGCGATAATTTTAAGACATTTCTATCTGTTATTCCCCAGTGTATTCCCATAGATGCTTATGCTCTTTCTTAGCACAGAATGTTTGGGAGAAAACTTGTGATACTGAAAGCTGTTCTCCACGTGCAGGTGTCTGGGTGTGAAGGGCTCTCTGTTTAAAATAGCTTCAAAGTCCTGATGAACTGAGCCTTTGACAGACAGATGCATTAGATGATAGCTAGCTAAATACAGCACTCCAGGTGGGAGTTGAACCCACGCTCTCTGGCTTGAGACTCTAATGCCATTTCCATTGGGCCACCAGAGCTGGAAAGACTGAGCTCTGTAGGGAATGGACTTTTTTCCTTCTACATGCAACTATTTCTGAAAAGGCCTGGGACCTGTTCCTCTACACACCTTAGAGCAGGACTGGCAACATTTTACAAGCTGTGGGCCAGAACAACTTGGCTCTCATCTAATGTGGGCCATGTGGCTGCAGCAGCATATCAGTGGCAAGGAGCTTCTCCCTGCCCATGCTGGGGCCAGGCAACGGCCAGTAGTGAACCAGCTCCATGGAGTCAGCACCTCCTCTGACTCAAGGGGCTGGAAAGGACCATCACCTTCTTCTCCTACGTCCTGCACAAAAGCCGGGTATGTTGGGAGGAACCCACCCTTCTCCAGGCACCACCTCACCTCTTGAGTCACCCCCAGTGCAAGAGATCCCGCAGGTTCCCTAGGCAGCTTGATCCCTGGCCCTGCTGTTATGACAGGTGTGGGGGAGCCTTTCTGAGCTACAGTCTAAATCTGCTGGGGCAGCCTCTGTAGTAAGGGAGAACACGCTTCCTCCCTCCCCTCTATGGCAAGTGTTCAAAATGCAGTGATTTCTGTCATGTGCCCCCAGAACCTCCTTGCTCCAAGACAACCTTGCCTGGTTCTCCCAGCCTTTCCTCATATGGCTGCTTTCCACCTGCTTTTTGCTCCACACTTACCTCTGACCCAGATTTCGCACTCAGGACACCCCTCTGTGATGATGGAAGAATGGTGCTAGACCGGCAGAAGGCAGGGCAGGATAATACTTTGGAAAGTAACTGATGCAGGGAGGCACACGCTTTCCTAGGCAGCAGCAACTTCATCAGAAGCTCTGAGCGTGCTGATCATGGAAACCACCTTCTGAAGAAAGTCTGGTGAAGAAGAGCTATGAAGTATCTCATGGTCCCTGCAAGGTGTTGACTGGAAATGGCAGCCTGCAGTCAGTGCAGTAGCAATGCTGTAGCAAGGGTGGGGGTGAGCGGGGCAACCACCCCGGGGTGCCAAAGTGAAGCAGGCATCAACAGGCACTGCCCAGCTGGGTTAGGACGCAGGATGGAGCTGTGAATGGCTCATTTGGAGGTGTGGGGACGGGGCTGCTCCTGCTGCTGTGTGCGCTCCCGGCAAGCATGGGGGGGCTGTAGTGCAAGCATGGTACCCCACCCCGATCTGTGCACAGGGCACAGGTGGGCTTTGCCGTGGGCGCCAAACTTCAGTGCATCAGCACTGCCTGCAGTGGCTTACTTGAGTGAGGATTAACCCATGCAGCTGCCTCAATGACCGGATAGCAACCTTCGTTGCTGAACCAGGCATATCATTTTATCAAACTATCAAATCATGCGCGGACGCTCCCGGTGCCTTTTGTGATGATGACACACTCCTGTGAAGTTGGAGCTACTGTGATATTGGAGCCAGCGCTTGGTCTCTCATCAAGTCACAGGGATGTGCCGTCCTGGCATTTGTGCCAGACATGAGGATGACACCAGGAGCACGCGTGGACTCCTGTGGACTGCCCGGGCCTTGGAGAATGGATTTAGGAACATGCATCTTGGGCAGCGGCCTGTGCGGAGGGAACCGCTGATACAAAGGAGACGGCTGGGACCTGCTGGGAGCGGGTGTGCAGCTGCCAGGTGGGGCTCATGGAGGCGTGTTGGCTCCCTGGGGCTGGGGGGCAGGAGGGGCTCATGGAGTCGTGTTGGCTCCCTGGGGCTGGGAGACAGAAACGTGAACCCCAGGCCCCGGGTTCTGGTCATTTTTGTGAAGCATTTGCCTCCTCCGCTGCCAGCCTGCCCCCACCACCAACTTCTTTAGCCCATGCAAAACACTTCTGCCTTAATTCCCAAAGCAAACAAGTGCTCTTCACAGGAGTAAGAAGTGGGGGGGCAACCCTCACCCCCTTGGGCACTGTGGCTTAGTTGGTTAAAGCACCTGTCTTGTAAATAGGGGATTCTGGGTTCAAATCCCAGCAATGCCTGCCTTTTCATAGCTCACTGCAAAGCCCCAGTTTCTTACCTTTAGAGCAGGATTGGTCCTGTTGTCAATATGTAACTTCCTGGCTCCTTCTTCCCACTTCATGGGACTTTGGTAGACCCCTCTTCTTACTACAGCATCTAAACCTGTCTCTAATGAACAAGAAATGGGTTCTCCTGCAGGATACGTGCAGTGTTTACAGTGGGGCAAGATCTGAAACAAGGGGATCTCTTCCCTGTTTCTATGTGCAACTGCAGGCCTGTGCAATGTAAACCCCTATATGTCATAGGAAATGCATGTTTCTGAATGCTGTTCTTCTTGTCAAGAGACCGTCTCATGTTTTAAAGGTCCTCTTCGGTTGTCTGGGCCAGGCCCAAGTGAAAGGAAACTAGATCCCAGGAGCCGCGCCGAGCGCCACAATCCAGATTTCAGGGGCATCCTTTCTGAAATAGGGTTTTTGATTGGGACTTTTCCAAATGCATTTAATGGGTCACAGATCAAGGATGGGTAGGAAACCACCGAGGAGAAAAGTCATCTAGAAATGGGCCGAGAGAGAGAGAGAAACTGAACGAGAGGCTGAGTCTTGCTGGTGCCTGGGCAACTCCTTTGGACCCTCTGGGTACTTCTACATGAGATGCTTTGATGAGCATTACATTAATCTGATGTGCATTAAAGCACGGCCGTAAAACCATGCACTAGGCGAATGCACATTCGATTAGTGAAATGGGCATTTTTCTAATACCTGAAGATACAGAGAGTTTTTACACATGCTCTAGGGTGCGGGGGAAGGTGCTTTAATTAAAGTGGATCCAAAAGCCACGAAATTAAAGCACCCGGAGTGTCTCATATATCAGCATCCCCACACTTCAATACATCAAACAAGCTTTAGTTAAAGTGCCCCTGCCACCATTTTGAAGCACGGGGACACTGCTACACGAGACGCGGCGGCTGGCTGTAATCACAGCGCGTGTGAGCAGCCTCCTGGCTCATGTACAGTCACCAGCAGGTACTAGATTTAACGCTCGCTAGAGCACCCTGGTGAGACTCCCTCCAAACAGGGGGCAAGGACGGCTTCTCTGCCACCCCTGCCTGGCTGTAGCTCCAGGGGGGACCCCACCCTTTCCAGTTCCTTGATCTTCCACTAAGCAAGCCACCTTTCTTCTGCAGTCCTGGTGCCTGTCAGCCCTGCCTGATCACATCTCTCCTCTTCCACAGCCCCGCAGACTGCTTGTTGCTCTAGCTAAAACCCTGCACTTGGGGGTGGTTTCATGAACTCGGGGGTAGGCACTACAGACCGTGAAGTCCTGGAGGTAAAGTACTGTCAAGACTGAAGTACTGTCAAGCTGCTCAAGAAGGCAAGATTTCTTTTTACAAATCTAAATTGGAGATTGATGTTTAATTATAATGACAATGGGACTAACAACACAATAGCTCTGGAGTGTTTTGGCTCTCATTTTTGCTTAGTATCCTGGGTTTTTTCTTTAAAAAAAAAAAACTTTATATAAAAACTCCCAGACTATATTGCTGGGATTATATATAGTCTAATGCACAGTCTAGTGGTCATATTTTTTTCTGCTTTGATCTACAACAGAGTACTATATAGTGCCAGGCCTGAGGCATACGACTAAAGCATCTAGTTTCCCTTTAACTGAAGAAAAATACGTATTTCTTCATATGTGATGAGGCGCCACCCCATCTGCAACCCCGCTTTTCTATATCCTAAATCCATCCATGCTCTTAATCTCTCTCTATTTTGGAGCCCCACAGACTCCTGGTAGCTCTAGCTAAAGACCTTCACTGAGGTGTGGTCATGTTCACTCTGGGGTGGACGTGACTGACCGTGAAGGATTAGAGATGCCGTCCAGAAACTCGGGAAGGCTAGACTTTTTCTTATGAATCTCAGTAAGAAACGTACTTTTAGTGAGAATGATGACAAGACTGATGCTGTGGCTCTGAGCTCTGGCGATCCCTTCCAGCCTCACGTCTCGATGCTATGATGTTGTTCTACAGCCTCCGTCTGCCCAAACCTCCCCATCACGCCCTTTCCTTGTGTCTCCTTCCAGAACCCACCTCGCTCCCACCGACGGTGTGTGGACATGGATCTACCCACAGCATCACACCGGAGACCAGGGTAAGTAGCGTGGTGGGGTTTACCTCTCCTTGGGGCACTTGAGGGCTCCTCTGGGGCAGAATCTGAGGCTCCAGAGTAACCCCTGGGGTCCCACTTCTCAGTGGGGTCATTGGCTTGCAGATTCAGGGCGTTTCCCCAACTGGGGCATAGTCCTCCTAGTGCTTGCAAATCTCCCGCTGGCTGTGGCTGGATATCTGCTGTACAGACACGGATGTCTGCTGGGGCTTGGGAAGCAGGGCAGTGCAGGTGGACAGGCACAGCCCCGGGGAGCTCTGGATGCTGGACAGAAGCAATGGACACACTCGCCAATGGTCACGTGCAGACAGACAGACAGAGCATCACCAGTGTGGTTTTTTCCTGGTGGGGGCAACAGGGCCTAAGCTGGAATCTGGGTCTAGGCTGGACCATGCCTTTCCCACCAGCGACGTCCAGCCCTCAGCTGATGTGTGTCTGTATAATTCAGAATGCGTAAGGGGGGCGGGGGGGAGGAATGTATATATGTATGTATGTATATAAAAAATTATGTAGACTTTCGTGTGTGTGTGTGTATATTAAGGTTACCATATACCTGAGTTTTCCCAGACGTCCTCTTTTTGTGTCCTCCTGTTTCCGCCCAGGCAGTTTTTTAAAATATCAGCAAATAACTTGGATTTTGCTCAGCTCAGCATTTGAACTCCTTTCCTGGAAGTGCCCTAGACCCCAGCTCTTCACTGGGTTCCAGTGAATTTTTTGTGTGCCAAGTCAAATCAGCCAAACCAAGTCCAAATCCGTGAGTCAGTCCAGAGCCGTACGTGGCCCTACAACCAACAAACATCCTCCACCCCTACCAGGGGTTTCAGATATTTCCAAAGTCTTTTGGCAGGCAACCTATGTGCAGGCCCAAGCCTTGGGGTTTGGATTGACCTCAAGTTTCATTTGCCCTCAGCCGTATGGCTGCAGAAGCAAGCTAGGGAGGAGCCTTCCATTTCCATAAAGTGGGCTTTAGGCCCCAACACCTCAGCGGGTAGTAACCATGCCAGAAGAACAGTTATCCCTGGGAACACTTAAGGAAAACTGCCTTCATGGCCCCAGATACGTGGTGTTTCCCCTGCCAGCTAAGAACAGATTGAATTTTATTAGTAGGTGTTAAGAATCGTGAACCAACAAGATGACAAAGCCAGAAGGGGAATACAGAGCCCCCGAGCAAGGGACTATCATAAGAGGGATGGGGGTGAGGAGGGAATCACAACTAAGAAAGATGCAGTGGAGCAGGGGTTGGCAATGTTTTCGGGCTGAGTGCCAAAAACTGTGCAACCTTAACTTGGAAGACGTTGGCGTGCCAGGGATGCATGCGAGGGAAGCTGCAAAGGGCCCGATCCTTGTGGCAGTGCAGCCCCAGTCCTTTTCCCACTGTCTGCCTGGAGGCCTGCATGCAGAGGGAAGACTCCTGTTTGGGAGCAATACAAGCCATTTTTTCCATTCCTTTCCTCCCTGATGATGATGTTGTTCCAGGGTCTGTCTTGCCAAAAAAAGCTGCAGGCTTCTCCCATTCCTTCGTAGTGGAGCTTGGGCAGCGAGCAGGGGATTGCAGAGGAGCCAGGAAGGGAAGAAGGAGTGGCACCAAGACCTGGAGCGGGACACCTGGGGGAAGCAGCTGCCCCTCCACTCAGGGGCTGGGGAGGGGAAGGCGGGGGCACCAAGCGAGACAGGGAAAGGCTCCTGCTGCCCCTTGCCCCTGGGTGCAGAGGCTCTGCGTGTGTGTGAGAGAGTGAGATCAGGCAGACGTCTTTCATTACACCAGTTAAATAGTTGCAAAAGAAATTGTTCTTTGCAAGCTTTCAGGCCCACACGCCTTTCATCCGACAAAGGAGAAAATGAAGCTGTTACGCTTTGCCAAGGTGGAAAAGAAGCCAGTTTGTAAAAAAACCCCCAAAACAACAAAACTGCTCTGTGAAAATGCAAATGCAGCCTAGCTTGGGAGGCAAAAGCTGATGACAGGCTGGTTCCTGGGGTTATCAGATGGCAGGGTGTAGAGTGCCATGAACCTGATGTTATATTTTGCAAGCCTGGACTTAATATTATGTTGCTGTTGAGTTTGGCTTCTTCACGTTGTGAAGTTTGCATTGCAAACAGCAAAATACAGTATCTTTCATGTTTCATAGTTTCATAGTAGCTAGGGTCAGGAGTGACCCGAACAGATCATCTGGCCTGACCCCCTGTCACAGGCAGGAATGAATGCTGGGTTCACAAGACCTCAGACAGCTGATCGTCCAACCTCCTCTTGAATTTGCCCAAGGTAGGGGTGAAGACCACTTCCCTGGGAAGTTGGTTCCAGATTTTGGCCACCCTAACTGTAAAATGACCCTGGGCTCTCCCTCCCCTTCCTGGCCATGCAGAGGATGCACATGGGCAACCTGGAGGGCCTGCTGTGGTGCCTGCTGCCCAGCGCCCCCAGTCTGGACAGGCTGAATTTCTTGTGGGAGGTGAGCAGGATGCAGAGGGGCTGGGCTCGGGGACAGCCGGCCTCCATCCCTGTGACCTGCACGAGCCTCTCTCAACACCTTTGGAGACTTAAGGCAGAGGCTGAAGCCCCAGCTCAAAGCCTCGGCCGTGAGGAGGTGGCAGACAGGGCTGGTCTGTACAGCAGGGGCACGTGGCCGCTGATCTTGATGCCTTCCTCCCACAGCAATTCACCTTCTGGATGGAGGCGGTGGATGCCCAGCACCGAGCCCTGGGCATGAGGGCAAGCCCCACCCTCATGTCCTTTGCTGCCCTCCTGCTCCCACAATTTGAGGTCAGTGAGCCCCGACCCCAGGGTCCTGGTCCCCTGCGGTTGTCAGGACCCTCCTGGGAGAGAGGAGTCAGAGCTGGGAACTGCGCCTCACTCCAGGGCT